GCTTCTCTCCTTGATGAGTTTCCATCCGTTGCTTCTTGTCCTGCCTTCGGGCGCTTTGGAAAATAGCTCGACTCCCTCTTCTTTGGGGCAACCCCTGAGATACTGGAAGGCTGCTATCATGTCCCCCCTAGAATAAAAAAGAGCTGGAAGGGACCTTGGAGGTCTTCTAGTCCAGCCCCCTGCTTAAGCAGGAGAACCTATACCATCTCAGACAAGTGACTGTCTAGCCTCTTCTTAAAAACCTTAAAAACCCACCCTTTCTGAAAACTTTGTTCCCGCCAGCACAAAAAAACTCACTTTATGAGTGGAGCTTTTTCTGGGGCAGCCTCTCCCTCAGCGATGGAAGACCCTCCTGGAACAAGAGAATAGTAGGATTGGAAGGGACCTTGGAGGTCTTCTAGTCCAACCCCCTGCTCAAGCAGGAGACCTACGACGTTTTAGACAAATGGCTGTCCAGTCTCTTCTTGAAAACTTCCAGTGATGGAGCACCCACCACTTCTGGAGGCAGGTTGTTCCACTGGTTAATTGTGCTATTAATTCCTCCTTAGTTCTAGGTTGCTTCTCTCCTTGATTAATTTCCATCCGTTGCTTCTTGTCCTGCCTTCTGGTGCTTTGTGACGGAAGCTCTTTTCCTTATACGTAGTTGGATTCTGGGATGAAGCATTTGGCCCCTGCTGGAATGCGCTGTGAATGAGAAGAGTTGAGTTGATCCTGGGTACAAAATTATCATGAGCAGCAAAGGGTGTTCTCCTGTCCCAGGTCCCTCTCCTTGGGCAGGTGAGTGAGGCTGGAAGGCTACGCTTGCCTGCCGGGCCTGGGAGCAGACGGAGCTGTCGGACGCTTCCAGTGACTCAAAATCACAGGCTTGGGAATTCTGGGAGTTGAAGTCCATTTTAAAGGTGCTAGGTTGAGAAACACTGACCTAGCACAACAATTTCTTAGCTGTTCCCCCGAAACACCTCCTTTACTGAGATTCATTGATTGCACTTTCATCATCTGGACTAATGGAAAATGTTCTTTTTATTATATCCCATCAATATTTCAACAGTTCCGTCCCCTCCAACGTAACATCTGTATGTCTCTACGGAAACTCTCGTTCCTCTAACCCAGGGGTAGTCAACCTTCGCTCTTTTATGACTTGGGGACTTCAACTCCCAGAATTCCTCAGCCAGCATGGGGGAAACTTTGGCCCCTTCATGACTCCTGGACTTCAACTCCCAGAATTCCT